CTGCTCCTCTGATGCTGCTTGGCCTGCTGTGTTCATCCAGCTCTACACCTTGTTATCTACACTAAAATCTTAGTGTGTTTTCTCATTTATTGCATACTATTTCTGTCCTATGTGATCAGCACATTGGTCAATGCCAAATGCAAGTAATAGAATTGTATTTGTGCTCTGTTTCATGTTGTGAAGAGGGTTGCACAGAAATCAGTTCCTCTTTAGGTGACATTGAACTCACTGATGAAGGCAGCATAATTATTCTGAATAATGTGGTAAGTATGCTTCACCTGCTCTCACATCTCTTTCCAGAAGTATATCCTGATAGATTTAATTTTAAAAGCATTTGGTTCTCTGGTATAGCTGCACAGGGAATGCTTACATAACACATGAAGAGAAAGTTGTTCTTGGTCTTATAAATATTGTCCTTATTGTTACGACTCTAAAAGAGGACCACACTGGAAATCAATCCTCACTACTCTGTAACCTGTACCAAAAGTGTAAATCTCTTATTTAATCACCAAAATGGGCAAATTGTTTCCCTTTATTATGACTGTCCAGAGTAAAAGAGAGTTTCACCAAATTTCTTCACTTTTTTTATTATAAACAGTACTTAATCTTTAAACAAATAGAAAAATTAGTTAACAACTTAGCTATAATCAGGAGTTAAATGATATGCCTTTAGCCCGAAATGGACACATTCGTAGAACAAATTGGACAATACAGCTCTGCATAGCAAGTACGTTAATTTTTAAAGGCCAAGGGTCTGGACTCAAAGCATAAAATTGAATGACTTCTCATGTTTCCTGTCAACAACATCAAAATGCTGTAGAATGATGGAAAATATTCAGATCACATGGAAAGTCAGTTTGACTTAGGTCTTTGAATAGAAGTAACTTCATAGAATAGAATAATAGAATCCCCTACAGTGTAGAAGCAGGCCATTCGGCCCAACAAGTCACACCACCCTTTTAAGGGCATCCCATCCAGGCACACCACCCTACCCTATCCCTGTAACTCTACATTTCCCATGGTTAACCCACCTAGCCTGCACATCCCTAGGCACTATGGGCAAGTTAGCATGGCCAATCCACCCGAACTGCACATCTTTGGACTATGGGAGGAAACCTGAGCACCCAAAGGAAACCTACGTAGACATGGGGAGAATGTGCACAGACAGGAATGGAATGGAACCCAGGTCCCTGGCACTACGAAGCAGCTGTGCTAACCAATGAGCCACCGTGCTATTGTTCACTTTCAGAGTTTATGAGGTAGTCAGGGATACTAATATTTGGAAGTTTCTCAGGTTCTCAGAAATACTTCAGCCTGGAGAGAAATCTTTTTAGCATATCCTGCTTTGAGATTTCTTTTTTGCTGAGAGGACAGAGAGATCTTTTAAGCAGCATGTTTTTGGGGTCTTTTGGTCTTTCTGCTGGCACACCTAGGTTTCCTAGATTAAAAAAACACTCTAAAAGGGTGTTGCTAGACAAATATCAGGACATAGGCTCCACTACTTCTAAATGAACGATTAAATCCATAATGAAAACAGAAATTGCTCAAAACGCTCAGCAGGTCTGGCAGCATCTATGGAGAGGAAGCAGAGTTAACGTTTCGAGGAGAGGCGATGGCCTAGTAGTATTATCACTGGACTGTTAATCCAGAGACCCAGATAATATTCTGGGCACCTGGGTTCGAATCCCACCAAGGCAGATGGTGGAATTTGAGTTCAATAAATATCTGGAATTAATAATCTAATGATGACTATGAATCCATTGCCAATTGTCAGAGGAAAAACCCATCTGGTTCATTAATGTCCTTTAGGGAAGGAAACTGCCATCCTTACCTGGTCTGACTGACATGTGGCTGCAGACCCACAGCAATGTGGTTGACTCTTAACTCCCTCTGGGCAATTAGGGATGGGCAATAAATGCTGCCTGGCCAGCGATGCCCTCATCCCGTGAATGAATTAAAAAAAGGCCCAATGTCTCTTCTGCAGAATGGGGTTGATTTTCTGGCATCCTCAGTTCTTAAGGTGTTAATTAAATCCATAAACCTCATCTCTTATCTCTCTGAGAAGCTTTGCTCATCTCCTTCCCTGTTACTTGTTTTTCAGTAAACAGCTGGTGGCTTACAGCATTCATTAAGCTGTTTATTTGATTTCTAAGAAATCAGGGAAAACTCCTTTTCAAACCAGATATCGTCCGTATATTTAAAATCCTCTGGATAGTTCTTAATTAAGAATGTATATTCCCAACATTACTGTCTCCTTGTGTTTGGATGAGAGAGGATAAAGCAGCAGAAATTGCCATCATTTGTTACAAACATTTTTGGGCGAATTGTAAATTTGTAATATGTAAACTGAGGGAATAAATTTGCATTTATTGCAATTTTCCAATGACACAATTAACAATTGGTGGGGTAAATACAGCACAAAATTATATAGGGACATTGATAGATTAAATAATCAGCATGGCAAATGGAACATTGGCCTTTATAACACAAAGGCTAAACTATGAAAGTTTTGCGACAGCCATACAATGCCTTGGTTAGAACAAATATGGTGTATTGTGTACTGTTATGTGCAGCGCATCTTTGAAAGGGTACATTAATTGGCCTTGAAATAAATGCAGCACAAATTCACCAGAATGTGATCAGGTCTTCAAGAATTAAATTATGAAGAGAGACGACATAAATTCAGGTTGTAATCCCTGGAATAAATAGAAGGTTAAGGGTCACATGTTTGAGGGTTTTGAAGATGTTGAAAGGAATTGATAGGGTAATTAGACACAAACTATTACCTCTTGTGGGAAGACTCCAGAGCAAGGGGACATTACCTTAAAATCTGAATGTCTTCACATAAAGGGTGATAGAAATTTGGAACACTATGCCGTAAGAAGCAGTTGATGATAAGTAGAAGGTTCCATCTTGGAACCAAAGTTGCTTACTTCAGTCCTGACAGTGCTTCTAAATTCAAGAAAAAACATCATGGATTTTCCAGTGCTTTGCAAAAGTAAAACCCAGCAACACTGCAATATATCAATTTACTCAAATTATTGACAAAACGCCCAGAAAAACAAGATGCATTTTCTCTGAATTTTACTTTTGACAAACTTCACATTTTATTAACATTATGGAAGGAATTGTTGGCTGACCAGATTCTGTTTGTGACGTACATATTTTACAGGAAACTTAATAAAGGTTGGTAAACTAATAAAAATTGAATGCATTCCGTTCATAATTTCACAATCAGATTTTCTCTTCAATTGCAGGAAATGGACGATGACCAGCTCTCTGAACTTTACATCAAGCTATCAAAGCTGGAACAAGAGATTGAACTTCTGAGAGATGTCAACAGAATCTTAAGAAAAGACAATGTTTCCATGAAGAGCACCTTAAGGAAAATGATGAGTGATGGTGTGCAGAACCAGCAGAGTGTATCGTGATGCCCAATGCAAATTTGCTCAGGCTGCACAGCCAACACTGTCTTACTATTAATATTCCGTTCACCTCAATATACATCATCCAGCATGAGATCAAAATGAGTTAACATGGAGACATTTGCAGCTTCTTTCTCATACACATTAATCTATGGAAACATAAACAGTATTCAAACCTTTGAACCTGTTTATCCATTCTACTAAGTAATGGCTGAGGTGCACCCATCTCCATTTCCTGCTTTTGTTCCATACCACTCAATTCTCTTACTTATCACTCTCAGTTTTTAAAACTTCTATTGACTCCGTATTCCCCACTATGTTGGAGTAACATGTTCTAGACTTCCACCATTGCTCTACATGTGAGTGAAATAGCTAGGTTTCAGTTCTAAATCATCTAGCTTTAATTTTAAGGGATTATTCCATCTCATTCAGTAATAAGAACAGAAATTGCTGAAAAAACTCAGCAGGTCTGGCAGCATTTGCAGAGAGAAATCATAGCTAACGTTTCAGGTCCAGTGGCTCTTCTTCAGACCCATCTTATTCAGTATTCCGCCACCAGAGGGAGTAGGTTTTTTGTATCTACAGTATTTGATTGGAATTCATTCATTGTTTTACGCTTGTGAGTTAGATCAGCCCCGATGCTTCACGGAAACATAAACCAGCTTTGGCATCCTGGCTTCATAATTAGCCCTTTAAACCCTGGAATAATTCTGGGTAATCCACACTGTACCTTTCTAAGGCAGAATCACAGAACTGTTAGCACAGAAAGTGGGCATGCAGCCCATTGGGTCTGTACCAGTTCTATTCCCTAGTGTCAATCTCCTGCCCTTTCCCCATATCCCTGCTCACTATTTCCATCCAAATAATCATCCAATGCCTGCTTGAATGCCTGAATTGAACCTGCCCCCACTACATTTGGATATTTCTTTCCTGAAGGTCAGTTCCCAAACTGAATGCAACCTGTACGTGGTGTAACATCCTGTACTGTAGAACCCACACGTCCTCTGTTCCCAATCCCAATTGAAGAACTAGAGGTCTAGCGTTTTCCCGGTAAGCAGAGAAGAATCATTAATAGATTAATTCCCAAAACTTATTGTCATAAGCATCAGGCATGCCCTACACATAGTCAATAAACTGTAGATTAATATAGCTGTTGATATTAATCTAGCGCATATAGATCCCTTGTAATTATTCAAGTTAAATCAACGCAGCAGAGAATCTTTTATTTGACAACTGAAGGAACAGCAGATGCTGGAAATCAGAAACAAAAACAAAAATTGTTCCTATTTAAATAGATTAAAGCTTTTGTTTAAATAGATTAAAGGGCATTTTAATTGCAAGTTATTACTGAAGTTTCTTTAAGGATAAAGAGTTAACAAGAAGTTACAGATATCAAGCTTAAAACAAGTACAATAAGACGGAAGAATAATTACAAGAAGGACGTGACAAATAAGTCTTTGTGGTGCCACCGGGGACATTGTTTGAGTTCCTTGTTGTCGAAATGAAGAGTTTACACTTGAAGTCAGATCCAGTGGCTGAAAATGGCCAAGATGGCTGCAGTGGAATAGCAGCCCTGCATTTGAGCTCCTGGTCCAGGCCTTGTCCGCTTCTGTCTGTTTTCTTTGTTTCCTTTCTTTCTTTTGACTCTTGCTTGGCATCGGCAGCGTTGAGACTCTTTTGGGGGCAGAGAGTGAGCCCAGTGTGGGGAGAGAGAATGAACCCAGCGCAGGGGGAAAGTGAGCCGTGTGTGTGTGTATAGAGTGAGCCCTGAGGCAGAATCAGTGAGGTAGGCCCAGCAGTGAATGATGGCACCTGAGAATCAATGACTTTGTTGTTTCTTGGGTCCTGGGCTGGCAATGGCACCAAGATAACAATGGCTGCGGCAACAGTCTCTGACATTGATGTGCCCAGTGGTGAAGGTATATCAGCCCTGCTGCGAAAGATGGTGCCTGACGTTCAGCAACTTCAACATGAGTTGGGTCTGGTGAGGCGATGGTGGCTCTGAGCTGGCTCAACTCAAACATAGATAGACTTCTCTTTAATCTATATCTTATTCTTAAACCATGAAAATGGCACCAAATTATGGTGACAAATAAAAAGTTTTTCACTATATTTTATTGTACTTCACTTTAAAATAACATGATAATGAATCACTCATTCAAAATGGTTTCTGTATTTGAATAGTTGTTGTTCTCTTGTACAGGTGAACCAGCAGTAGATCTTGAGAGGGAGTGAAGGTCACTTGTTTTTCACTCATTCTATGGTTTTGATACCTTTGCACAGCCTAACTTTCATACAGTATGTGACTTCCATGTACTTTTCAGTTTTGTCCTCCCTCAAGCAAAACATTTCCTCTGAGGCTGGTTCTCAAAGCCTACTTCCTTGAGTTTTGTACATTGGATGTTCTTAACCAGATTTCTTTATACAGTATAAAGCTCAAATGATGTTAAGTTTGAGGAATCAGGGCTGAGTGCTTTTCGAGTTCTTCCCCCCATCTGCTGCTTCACTCTGAGGCTTGAACTTTCACACTCTGATTTTTCTGTTTGCAAAATCCTGGCATTTCAAGAGTGTTTACATGTCTGGACATGTTTCTGTCCATAACCAAGTGAGAACTTATGACTGTGTGGTCAGGCAACTGATAGCATTCATGTTATTTTAGTTAGGTTTAAAGTTTAAGTTTAAAGTTTATTTAAAGTTAGGTCAATTATGTTTTTCCAAAATACCACAGTATCATAAAGCCTTTGTTTATGACACGTTAAATAATGGAGCTCCACACTTTTTCCTCCCACAATCTATCAGTCCATAAAGTACAAGTTTGATATAAGAGGTAATCACTAATCACAAATTTACATTGCCTTGGTCTCTACTTCATTCACGAATATAAGTACAGACGGGAGGCTTTCTAACATCCCTGAATGGCCCAGTTCAGTTCAAAAGTTATGCTTTAAATAGCATTTGTGGTGTCTTTTACTTAACAGTGGAACAAGTTACTTGCCAGATTGTACAGTAAGTGCACAGGAACTAGAGGTATCCAGGAATCTCAAGTAATGCAGATTTACCCAAAACTTTAGCATGGCATAAACACAGCAGCTAATCATTGCAACTACCTACTGCTTGATTTGGACTCCATTGCTACTTGTTTCTTAAGCACAAGCAGTAATGACATAAAATAAAAACAGAACACTTTGGAAATACTCAGCAGGTCAGACAGCATCTGTGGAGAGAAACAGTTTCACCTCAATGATGACCCTTCATTAGAATAAGAAATGAAAGAAACGTAGTCGGTTTTGTGAAATAACTGCACAGAGGCTGATATCCGGTCACCGAGTCACCCGTTATTTACATGTGCACAGTACATGGCCTCTGACCAGCCAGCTCAGGGCCAGGCCCTAGAATGCGGAGATTCTTGAATGCTCCTGTTTATTTCCGACAGCCTGATTGGCCCAGGTTAACAACCCCAATCAAGGATCTCATAGTCAATGAGATCCATCTGGCCCCGGTTCCAATCACTACAGTTTTGGGCCAGTGAAACCAAGGAGGGCGAGGGTAGAGAGTCTGGTGGAGCAACAAAAGGGAATTTCAGAGGAAGCCAGTGAAAGAGTGGGGATAGAGAATAGAATAGCCTTTATTGTCACATGCACTCAAATGAGCACAGTGAAAAGTTTGTAATGTCACCTCTCAGCGCCGTCTTAGGTACAGGGTACCTAGGTACAGATACTTTAAATGTTGTTACAGAATTGAGATAGTATCAGAAAAGACTAGTGTGGAAATACAGAGTTTAAATAGTCCAGAATGAGAATAAAAAGTGTCTTTAAAGCGCTCAAGTTATAGTCCTTTACTCACTGAGTCTGTGCCCGTCGGGCTTCAGAACACAAGGCCTCACTGCCTCCATGCTCTGGCTTCTGTCCCGGACTTGCCTCCGGGACTGGATCCCCCCAGCCAGCCCACGCGCGCTGTGCTCCCCACTCTGGGCTCCAACCTGTAACTCATTTCTGGGACTTGGCCCACACACACTCTGCTGCTGCGACTCACTTTCGGAACTCAGCCCGCAATCGCTCTGCTCCGCTCCCGCCCTGGTCACAACTCAACTCCCGTGCCAGGCTGGTCTCAAACTCCGTTCTTCATTCCCTTCAGGTAGGGTACTTTAAGAAGTTAAAAGTTGGGGTGAGAAGGAGAATAACTGCAGCAAGAGCATGAATAAAGAAATAGGAAAAGGAGCTGGTGAACAGAGGAGGTCCAGCTCGAGTATCTTACTCTGCTGCCATCTTAACCAATAGAGATTAAATGACACAAGATTTCACAGTACAAAAGCCAAAGGGTCAGGTAAAGAGTTGAAGGCTGCATCCAGATGAGGTATGCTATATTTCTGCAGTATTTTGGTTTTGAGTAGTGACATGAATTTGTACCTTAATTTTTGATCTCATCTTGCTTTTCCCTAGCGCCAAGGCCTGACGAGAAGTCTTTCCATCAAAAAAACACACAAGCCTTTGGCAGTAAGTGTACACCCAAGGCCAATTATGAAGTTGACTTTGCCAAGGCTCTGAAAACATTTTACCAAAGCATGAACAGGGTGCAGAACCAACTGCTAGGATTGAGGCGCCAAAGACCACCGGTAAAGTTTGATTCTTAAACCTACATGAAACAATTGAAGCCAAGATTAAATGATAAATGTAATAATAAAACAATAAACTGCGGATCTGAAACAAAAACAGAAATTGCTGGCCAAAATCAGCAATTCTGGCAGCAGCTGTGGGAAGAAAGCAGAGTTAAAATTTCACGTCTGGCGACACTTCAAGAGTCACTGGACTCGTAACGTTAACTCTGCTTTCTTCTGATGTATGGCTGCAGGATATACCGATTTGTCATTTTTCTTCTGTTCAGTCATAGTGTTTGTGGCTACAGCTCCCACTATTGCAGGGTCCCACTCTTAGCTCTGCCACAACGGAAGGTGATAAATGGACAACCTCACAGTTGCAAGTTTCTCAACAATGTCAGAAATTATATTT